AACATTACCTTGGGCAAATTGAAGCAAGTTATTAGACAAAAGTTGCGGCTTCCTCCCTATGAAAATGTGACCAATTTAGTATATAAGTATCCTACATGCATAAATCCACCACAATACCAATCATGCAATTTGGAAGATAATATAGATATAAAACAAATATGACAAGTGACCAGAAGATTTTCATCTCAATTAACATGTGTCGTGTTGTATGCTAATGTATGTGATTTACTAGATAATGGCCATGTTGAGTCACAACCCATAGGTGATTATATCAGAAATATACTTTCATCAAGTAGCAATAGGTTGAACATGATGGAACAAGAATCTATATTTAGTGATCACATAGAAAATTTCCAACCATTTGAACTCCTTGACAATCTATAAATTTAAATGAATCACCTTAGTTTGATTTGAATACGCCAACTACACAAACAAATGAGACACTTGAATTTCAAGAAATTAACATACAACAACAATGACCATATTGTTTGAGAAGAAGGCCAAGATGTGGTGCTGGAAGCCAGTATCACTAAGGTGGATAATTTTTTCTTTCTAAACTTAAACTTTATTTATTATTTTTTACAATAAAATATTTATTACTTTTTATTTTTAATTAATACACATCTTATACTCATTTCACAATTAGTCTTAACATCATTACGTAATTATCAACATTTTTCTCTCATTATTTAGTCATGATTTTGTCATTCAAATGATTGATAAATCATTATACTAATCATTTTAATTAGGAGAGAAGAGGAGAAGTTGTTCAGCAGCAAATGAAGTTTTGAAGTCGTTAACTAGAAGAACAATTTTCATTCACCTCACGCATATCGAGGACAAATTATGAAGAAGTCGTTCACCAGATAAATGACTTTAAAAATTATTCACTTGAAAAATGATTTTAAATGTAGCATATTAGTAAATACTTTTAAAAGTGCAGCATATTGGTATATAATTTTACTATTTGTAGTATTTTGGTAAAAAAGCCTATCGTGTGGCATTTGTTTAGTTTGACGAGAAATCAAGTATTGGGCATGGGCCTTTTATGCTTGTGACCAAAATAATAATAATAATATAGTCCTACAACTTAATTGCTACAATTAAAAATTTACAATCAAAGCATAACTTTTTTTGTTACATACTGTTTGGTATGAGAAAAATAAAAGGAAGAGGAAATGATAGAAAATTTCATCACGCTCTATTTAAAAAATTGGGGTTTTCAAATTTTAATCCAATATAAGTCTCAGATGAAGTAATTCACATGTAATATATATAAAGCCATAGATGTTGTAGCCTCATGGAAGCATTGTCACATATTTTTATTTTTACATGCAAAATTGGCAGAGATTCTCTCGTATGAAGAGTGAATAAGAAAAAATGAAATTATTCTTGACGTGAATGATTTCAGAAATCATTCTTCGTGAACGATTTCACTTTTTAATTTAAAAAAATTTAAAAAGTGAAATCGTTCACACGCAGAACGATTTCTGAAACCGTTCACGTCAAGAACGACTTGTATGTAAGTCGTTCTTGTCAAAAATAATTTTAAATGCAGTATATTAGTAAATATTTTTAAAAGTATAATATATTGATATATAATTTATTGTTTTTCGTATTTTGGTAAAAAAAAACCATCATTCCTTACTAGATTCTTAAGATTTAACCTCTCATAATTTATTTCTATATTATTATCAGTCTTTTCCTTCTCTTGATATCTTGGTTATGGTTGGACATGTAAGGGGTGTTTGGAAAACCCAAAACCATGGTTTCAGAAGCACTTTTTCGCAAAACGAGATAATCTCTTCCACATATTTACTTCGTAATCCGTAAAAGCATTTCTGAAACCATGGTTTGGTTTCTATCCAAACACCCCTGTAATTTGGGTTGGTGCTTGTAAAAGAAAATATACTGACGCGTTCACAGTATTTACCCAAAAAAAAAAAAAAAAAGCTTTTCCCTTGACACCACGCAAGTACTGTTGGCTAGTACTACAATTATACCTGCTTATGTCAGACGTAATAGCATTGGCTTGATGCTTAAATTATATTGGAACTTGTGGCGGAAAAAAATTATATTGAAATGTCAAGTATCATAAAAATTAGCACTTCTGTCAACATTAATTCAATCAAGCTAAAAAGTGCATACAGAAGGACTTCTTTTAGGAAGGTGGATGCTAATGAGAACTGATGAAGCTGGACGTCAAATAAATAGACAGAGAAAGTATTTTTTTAATTATATTTACAAGGTAATAAGAAAAATTTTTTATACGTATATATAATTAAACTTTTTATTTATTACTGTGTTAATTTTATTTATGTGAGATATAACGTATATTAAATAAAAATAAAATTATGAAATTATGAAATTTTAAATAAGAATTAATAAAATTTAAATTTTTTTAATTACATGAAACATGATCTATAAATAAGATTGAAGGAGTATATAAAAAAAATTGTACCTGAGAGAGGTTTTCTTTTTTCCTAAATCTTTCAGACCAAGTCTGTTTAGATGACTCAGCCTTTGAGGCACTAGCGGTACACCTAAGGGTCCGTTTGGATGAGCGATTGGAAAAGCAGCTTATAGGAAAAGTAGCTTATGGAGAAGTGAAGTTGGTAAAAGCTAAATTGGATAAGCTGAATTGTGTTTGGATTGGAGTTCAGAAAAGCTAGTTTGCAGAAGTGAAATTGGTAAAAAGGTGTTTGGATTATAGTTGAGTAAAAGTGAGTTTGGTTATAAAATGACTAAAATGGGTATAGGTGTTAATAAATAATGAAATATGATAAAAAAAAATGATTTGACATAATACAATGAAATTAAAATAATTTATTATGAAGAAGTCAAATTAATGAGTGAATTAAATTTTAAAATTTTAAAAAAATTATAACAAATATTTTAAATATAATGTGAAACATGAAAAAAAATGAATTGATATAATATAGTGAATTATTGTTAATTTGATATGAAGAAGTGAAATTGATCGAGGGAATTAAATTTGAAAACATAAGAGAAATGGAAAAAAAATTGCAAATATAAAACGAAACATAATTTGAATGGATAAACATGTTTTTAACTCCAATTTACAGTATTGCAATAAAGTGAAACTAAATAATATTACATAACTAATCAATAGATAAGCTATGGATAATTTGGTCTCTGATTGCATCACGGACGCGATTCATATGCGATGAAGACTGTGATGTAGCATTTGAAGATGATGGTTGACTAGCTTCAGCCTGATCATGTTCGCCCACATTATTACCATTTTCAGCTTGTTCAAAAAACAAGTCGGAGCTCGAATGTCTCCTTATAAGGTTATGAATGGCCATTGTTGCACAAACCAGATACACTTGTGTTTGGAAGTCGTAACTGCGCATATTTCGGAGGACTTGAAATCTATTCTTCCAAACACCGAATGTTCTTTCTATTGTGCACCTTAAACTGGAATGATAATAATTAAAGGCTTCGTTGCTATTTCGGAATCCTACTTGTCGTCGAAAGTCTGGAAGGTGGTAGCGCTCAGATCTGTATGGACCTAGATATCCATTTGGTGTTGGATATCCCGCATCAACCAAGTAATATTTCCCTAATGATTCATGAAACAATTTGAGAGATTGTGAAATGAATAAAAGTATGAAATAATTAAAAGAACATGCATGATTGGAACACATAAACATATACCTGGAGGTGGATGAGGGAAATTAAGAGATGAATTTGTAATAGCACTATCAAATATACGAGCATCATGTGCAGATCCCTCCCATCCTGCCAAGACAAAAGTGAAACACATATCCCAGTCACATACAGCCATGACATTTTGTGATGGATATCCCTTTCTGCCAATAAATTTGTCTCGTTTTGCAGCGGGGACAACACACTGTATATGAGTGCCATCAATTGCTCCGATTGCGTCCTTAAAAAATGGGTAGTAACGTGGATCGTTCTCAATTTTTCTATGAGTTCCACGAAATGTTGGATCTATGGGTCGAATAAGTTCACTCGATAGGCTAAGACAAGCTTGCAGTACATTATGAAAGTGCCTACTTACAGTTTCCCCTGATCGTTGAAATCGTTCCTGGATCATCCTATTGCATTGTCCATGTGCAACCGTGTTTAAAAACATCGCAACCATTTCTTCAATTCCTACGTACTTAGACTTTTGTAAACCATGTTCCACCAATTTAGTACATAAGAGGTGGAAAACATCTTTATCCATTCTAAACATTTCATGACATCGATCATCATGCCCATTCATAATGCCTTGTACCCATAAATTTCCTGTCTGCTCACTAGTTCTGCACGGTTGTTTAAGCAAGTACATTTCACAATAATGACCAACCAATGCACCTACTGCTTCATATTGTGTTAATTCCTCATTAATTATGGTTGAATGGTCATCTTCATTTGGCTGTGAATCGTTATTCCAATTCCATAAAGTATCTTCATTCCACGGTGAATCATCGTTCCAATTAGCCATTTCTGGAATTAACCCTGTAATTATGGTGAAAACAAAATGTAAGCATTATAAGAATTACACTAAACAAAGTGTAAATAATTTTCATACTGCAAACAAAAAAACCAAACGCATAGATGACAAGTAGAAATTAGCGTAAATATATTACATAATGATTAATAAAGTTCCTACAACATGCCACATCAGTTTAGGTTAAAACAGCAGGTAGTTCAGGTTAACAAGTGCAATAACAATAGTTAAACAGCTAAGTCCTAAACTAAATCCTATTCTGCAGGTCACTTCCATGTGTCTGGGTCTTGTGCTGCCGGTATCAACCACCTCAACAACTTGCTTCTATCATGCATAAGCCCCAAATAGGCTCGCCTAGCCCACCTCAACCGCGTAAGCATCTTGGCACATGCATAATATAGTTGATTGTCATCATTAAGCTCCTCAACGGTAGTCAGGTGTGCCAAAACCTTATCAACTATTTGGGGATCTTCGACCAATGCTGCTGCTCGCTTGTCAGAAGCAGCTGCTATGACACTCAGGCTGTCAGAATTAATGTAGTTGCAGCAACTTTCTTCTTCTTCTTTGCATCTGATGTCTCACCCCTCTTTCTCTTTCCATAGCTTCCTGAGCCACTTGGTCCAGTACTTGCGGGGGTGTTTATGTTGCAAGCAGCGAAGTCATTTGTGAAGGCACTGGCTGTTGGGTCCACACCAAAGTTTTCATCCTCACTATCCCCTGACCCTTCTTGTTGGTCTAGCCCGACTCTATAAACATCCTCCTCTTCTGTGTCAGGCTGTGGAGCAAACGCTGGCTGAGGCTGTGAGGCTGATGGTGCGTACGCATACTCTCCCGAAGCCACAACATCTTTGAATATTCTCATCAGATCTGATGCAAACATCAGCCCCTGATGTCTAAATTTCTTGAAATTAGGGTCCACCTACATGAACATAATTAGGCATAATTAAGCACTGTTCCTTCTGATATTCAAAATTAAAACTCAACTAACACAAATAATTACCAGTATTTTTCGTTGCCACCACTCATCAGAGGCCAACACCCTATTTGTGGCTGCATCATAACCAATGCCAGTCTCCCCAGACATCAGTTTTTCCCACAACTTCCAATCTTTTCTCAATACATCGAATCTGTTCTTCAGTTGCTTCCTGTCATACATTTTCCCGCTCCTTTCCCGAAAATTCTTTTCAATTTTCAACCAACCAGGTCTTGTAAACGATGTTCCTTGTCTTTCTTTGTGCACTATTTGCTCGGCACAAACATCGATTAGAATTTTTGTCGTGTAATGATCCCATGTCGCTTTTCCCTTGTCATTATCCATTTCTCTACGCCCTTTGATCGAGATAAGAGCAACTAAATCAACCAAAGCCCTAAATATGTAATAATGAAAGCCGTATTATATAACACATACATTGTAACCAAACAAACATATATCACCAAGTAACACATTTTAATTGCATAAGCTGTTTAGTTTTCTTATTCAAAATTTTTTAAAATTATAAATATATAATCACATTGTCAATGTCCACTATTTTCCAGTGGTAATTGATTGTGAACATTTTGAAATTAAATTTTCAATATATCATATAAATTGAACCTAAACTACATTACATTGATTAATTTTTATCCTAATTTAACTATGTAGGAGTAAAATAAAAACCAAACTAAGAATGATGAACAAGATTATTTACAAAAATAAGTTATATTTATCATAATTAACTAATTTACCTAACTTTTTTAATATAATTAAATTAGTTAAATAAATATCATATTAGAGAGAAGTAAGAGAATATAACAGGAGAAAGAATAACATTAAATTTATTTTGATTGAGACTTCCCCAAATTAATTCCAAATGATTTTTAAGTAATTATCCACATAGTCCTTAATTTCTTTGTATAGTACAAATTAATGTCTTCTTACTTTGCTCTATCAACTCCGTTAATTAGCTTTATCAAATGAACCATCCGGACACACATATATACACATATATACACCATGTTACCACCTCATTCTCTTCTACCTTACCCTCATAGAGATCAAATCCTATAACCAAAAAAATCAAGAGACCGAAGCTAAGGACATGCAAAACAACAACCATTGTAATTCCGAAAATTACAATTCCAGAGGTCCATATCTCGCCATTAACAACGTATATACGCAACAATTTCTTGAATCCTATAACCATAAAAATCAAGAGAATCCTATACGCCGTTTCCTTGAACCATTAATCGTTGTTTCAGCATTGCAAAACAGAGGAAGAAAATCGATATGCAAGTACAAATTTTATGCTACATTCGGTCCCTGTTTCGGTGTCACAACCAGTTGGTCCTCAACATCCAGCAATCATTAACAAATCCGAACTAACACACGATAGGAAATTCTTGAACCATTAATCATTGTTTCAGCCTTGGAAAACAGAGGAAGAAAATCGATATGCAAGTAGAAATTTCATGCTACATTCGGTCCCTGTTTCGGTGTCACAACCAGTCCCTCCTCAACATGCAGCAATCATGAACAAATCCGAATTCAAGCAAGATAGGAAATTCAAGGACGACAGGAAATTCAGGGAGGACAACAAATTGAAGGAGGACCGGGGATCAAACCGGAAAAGTGACATAACCGGCCAACCTGCAGTAGATCCAAGCTGCCAGAGGTAGATCCAACGGTATATTGCACTGGGAAGCCAAGATCTCCACGCACGGCTCAAACGCAGAGGCAGACGCCGGCGACGTCGGTTGCAGACGGTGAGAGCAGCTCCGACTTGTGATGAACGAACGGCATCCACCAAGCCACGGACACCTCACCCCAATAGCTGACCTCGCGATGATGATCGGACGGAGCTCACGGTCACCAGCGACGACCTTCTCAGACGCGACCACCGACGGACGTTCTCGAGCCGAGCAGAGACGGAAGCAAGCTGGGAGCTCGGGTAAAAGGAAAAGAGAGTCACGAGTTAGGGAATAAAGGAAGGCAGATGTGAAGACAAAAAAAAAGGTAGAGTGTCAGAACGGTCATAAGCTGAATTCTCAAGGGCCAGAAGCTGGTAGGCACGAGCTTATGCCAATCGTGCGTTCAGGGGCTTTAAAAAATGATAAGCCCAATTGCCAAATTGCTCTGCCAAACGGGCCAAATTTTCCACCAAGCTTATAAGTGCTTATAAGCCACGTTTGGGCCAGCAAACGCTGACCCAAACAGGCACTAAGTCAACCTTGATCACTACTCCGATGCCTCGGGAGAAGCCAATTCGCAGGGCGTAACCGACCGAGGTACATATATATATCCTCAAATCTTTGGTTTCTGTTTTCTACTTGTATGTTTGAGCTTTCTAGCTCTTGTCTTTTTGTTAGGTCTTGTCTGTAATTCTGTTACTTTTAATATATTATCATTTTGATTTTTTTTCCCAGACAAAGAAATAGAGTCTCCATCCATGGAACTTGATGGAAACGACGCTGGGGTCTACAAAACGCGGGTCAAGCAGCAATATACAATTCCAGGGCACACGGGTGGATGGCCCTTGGGGAGCACTTTTAATTTTTAGAAGGTAATGTCCTGTGTCTTTTATTTATGCCTCCTATATTCTCGTCTCCTGGCAGCTGTAAATCCAAATCCTGATAGCCTGTGATGCGAGGCGACGTGACTGGAAATGGGAATTCTTCTCAAGTGCTTTGGAGGCTCTTCTTCGACTTCTACCAAACAACCTTCCACATCAGTAGAATATCTCTGCCATCGCTTTTCTCTTTCCCAGCTTCAAAAATCCACCGACGACTTCGACGACAGCCATTTTCTCGGCCAAGGACGGCATGGCATGGCCCGGCGTACAGAGGTTGCATCTCTGTCAATGGCGAACTCAAAGATGTTATAATGAAGCGTCTCGGACGCCGATCATCGATTCCCTCATACTCAGAGGGGCTCACACTGTACAAGAACGACGTAGTGTTCATGTGCCAGCTCCACCACCCGAATCTGCTGTCTCTTGTTGGATTCTGCGATGACAAAAATGAAATGATTGTGGTCTATGAGTATGCCCCAAACGGATCACTCCACCGTTTACTCGGAAGCAAGCCGCCAACATTCTCGTGGAAGAAGAGGCTGGAAATCAGCATCGGAGTGGCGCGTGGACTGCACTACCTTCACTCCGGCACCAAACACATCATCCTTCATCGCCATATAACAGCGGCCGCCATTCTCTTGGGTGAGAACTGGGTTCCAAAACTCTCATATTTCGGGTTCTCTCCCAGAGGACCCAGGTTTTCAGCAAAGGATATGAAACCCCTCAAGATGGAATCCCTCAGGTGCCCTAATGAAGGATACACAGCTCCCGAGTGCTATGGTGGAAGTAATGTGACGTATAAAAGTGACGTCTTTTCATTTGGAGTAGTTTTGTTAGAACTCATCTGCGGAAAGACTTTATCCCAAATCAGTGAGCACGAGGGGCGTCAAGTTGAGAACATTGCAGATTTTTTCCAATTTACGCGGAGCGTAGTTAAGAAAGCACGCGATTTGGCAGGAACAGGGAGAGCTGAGGGAATTATAGATGAGAGTTTGGTGGGAGAAATAAGAAGAGACTGTTGGAAATTGTATATAGACCTAACAGGGAGTTGTTTGAGTGAAGATCCCAATGAGAGGCCTGATAAGGGAGACGTTGAAGTGCAGCTTGAATATCTATGCAGATTCAAACAGTACAACGATTCCCTGATTTAATTTCCCTTGTTGTAATGAATTACGTACCGTTCTTATAAGAGGTTTTTTAACTTTTAATTTAACTTTAAATATAATACTCTAATTTATTTTGTTTTTAATATTTATTTATTTTTTTTCAAATTAGTTCTTATAGTTAATTATACATGTTAAATATTTCATTAAATATTAAAACTAGTACATTTGATTAGTAAGAATATTTTTTTAAAAAAATAATACCTATTTATTATAAATAACTAATTTAACAAATTTTTTTAACTTATTCACATTAGTCAATTACTTGACAAATTTTCAATACTAACCAAAAGAGAGAAGGGGAGTAATTTCTCCCTTACAAAAACTGCCAGCCGAATAGTACTATCTTAATTACCAGATTTAACATTTAACTTCTTATAATTCATTTCTATACTATCGCCAGCCTTTTCCTCCTCGTGATGCATTGGATAGAGTTGGAGATTTAATTTGGGTTGGTACTTGTAAATAAGAAAAGATAATTTGTTGTTCATAGTATATTACCCAAAAAAATTTTTTTACCCCGGCCCACGCTAGGCAAGTACTACCTTTTGTTATAATTATAAGACTTCGTTTGTAGTCTATAAACAAAGTATTATAATGACTACAAACAAAGTATTATAATTAGGATACGAGAGAGTATATATTTGGCTAATTTTACACAGCTTACTAGCTTATCGCAGACGCAACAGGCATTGTCATGATATGCTTAAATTATGTTGGAAATTTCCACCAGAAAAAGGTTATACTGGCTTTCTATAACTTATGAGGCCGTTTCAAAAATGCCAGAAGAAACCCAATGATCTATACCTGGGAGTTTTATCGTTTACTGGTTTGCTTTTATGTAGCTGAACCCCTTTCTCCACGAAAAAGAAGAGGAATAAAGTGGCTTCTGCTTCTGCATCACTCACATGGGGTTGGAGAAAACCTTTTTTAATCTCCCACCTTCATTCATTCAATCCCAGATCATTATATTCTTCTCGTACTAACTTGAGAAACTCTCATCTGCCCCCAGATGTGGGACCTGTTGTTAGTATTACAGTTCAGTCTTCTCCATGCTACTGTAACCATCCCAATTATATTAATGAACTGCGTAAACTAATTATATCCGTCACATTCATAATATGTATATATTTCTATTTGTTGTTTATAATTTAACTTGATGTATATGCATATCTATATTACTATTAAAAAAATGAAATGTACCTCGACGTAGCTGAGGAGAGAAGAGGCAAGTCTGAAATTTTGTCCCTTTCGTTATTTTAATTCTTCAGCTCAGATCTTCTGGGTATCTTTTTCCCATTTACCGACGTACCTAGTAGTCCATTCAAAAGGGAAACAATACTCAGTGCGGAATTAACTGGCAGTTAATGGCCTAAGCTAAAATGGATGAAACCGACCAATACGCAAATAAATAGGTATATAGCTACAGGTCCCTGTACCAAACTTTTTGCCCTCTCATTTCCCATACATTATAATTTGTAATTTATAATTAAAAAAAAAGTAGTAGTATTATTTGTAATTGTACCAAATAGTTATACTGACCAAACAAAAAGTAAATAGCTTTGTTATAGTTAAATTGAGATCACAGCTCCTACTGCGTATAGGATAAACATTTTTTACTCTTCTGTACAGTACAGGTCATACAAAGATGCTCCCATTTTTCACTTGTACGATAAAAAGAGAGCATAGATTATCAATAATAGAAGACAACCTAACAAGCAATCTGGGATAACATCTCAACGTAAATCAAGAAACCATCTATTTATTGATCTACATGTTTTGACGTGAATGTGAATTGCTATGACTAGGTCTAACTACAATTAGAAATCAAACAGCCTTAAAGTGCAATCTTAAAAATATATACTCATTCAGTCTTAAATATGACCTAATTAATTAATTTAAGTAAGTTGAAATATTAGTTTAAATTTTTTTGAACTGATCTTTTTTATTTTTTGAGTTTCTTAAAAGACGTAGAACTGTTCTCCCTCCGCTAGGCTGAAACATTCAATTTCTTTTTAGTGAAACACAACTCGAAATAGTCAACTTTTTTCGATGAACCGATAGTACTCTTCCGGTCCTTAATATAGGACCCAATTCTTGAGTTGGTTTTGGTTCTAAATATAAGACCCATTTCTCATATTTATCAATTTTCTCTAAATTACCCCTATAGATACTCTCTCAACCATAATTAAGTAGAAGAGGGAGAGGGGGTATTAAGAAAGATGATTATGGTGTTTTAGGAAAAATGTGTCACTTTTCTTATAATTAACCAACTTACCTAACTTCCTTAATCTAATCAAATTTGTTAAATGGGTCTTATATTAAGGACCGGAGGAGTAATAAAAAACTAAAACGTGGAAGGATTTCACTTTGGAAAGATGGATCCTCGCCAACAGGAACTGAAGCTGGGCTTCAACAATGGCGGCATCTCGTCAGAACGAAGGTAAGACGGCCGGAGTAAAGACCACACGTGTGACGTTAGCTAGCTTCTTAATTAGTAGTAATTCTCCATCCATGATGAAAACGACGCTGGGCTGTCCAAAACGCGGATAGCCAAACCGCAGTTCCCCCGCGTTTGGGTGGACCCATTTCCCTCGCACTGAAAAGTCATCGTCTTGTGTCTCTTAAAAATCCAAGTCATCTTCTGGGGATTAGAAGCCTTCTGAAGTGTTTTGGGGGTTCTCCATGACAAAATGAAAGGATTGTGGTTTATGATTAAGAAAAATAAGTACGGAACTGAAGCTGGGCTTCAACGATGAAGGCATCTCGTAAGAACGTGAGTAAGACGGCCGGAGCCAAGACGATATGAGCTTCTTAACTACTAATTCTCTGTTAACTAATTACAGGATCTCTATCCATGATTATGAAAACGACGCTGAAGTCAACGAAACGCGGATCAAGCAACGCGCTAGTGGACCTGTTCTCCAGCACCTACAAACTCAATGTCTAGCGTCTCTTGATTGCCTCAAACTCAGCTGCGGGGCGACGATACAGGGAATGGGAATCCTTTACCAGTGCTTCGGAGGCTCTGGTTCACCTCGGAGAAAACAACCTTCCACGACAGTAGAAGATCTATGCCATCGCTTTTCTCTCGCGCAACTTCGAGAATCCACCGACGACTTTGACGGCAGCCGTTTTATCGGTGAAGGACCCTACGGTGTGGCATACAGGGGTTGCATCTCCATCGACGGCCAACTCAAGGATATCGCAGTGAAGCGGCTCCGACAACCAGAATCATACGGGATCTCACTGTGCAAGAACGAAATCATATTTATGTGCCAGCTACGACACCCGAATCTGTTGTCTCTTGTTGGATTTTGCGATGATCGAAATGAAATGATTGTGGTCTATGACTACGCCCCCAACCGATCACTCTATCATCAGATCCACGGAATAGACAGCAATTCGCCAATAAAGCCATGGAAGAAGAGGCTAGAAATTAGTATCGGAGTGGCGCGTGGGTTGCACTACCTTCACTCAGGAACCAAACGCACCGTCATTCATCGCCATATAACATCGGCTGCCATTCTTCTGGGCGAGAATTGGGTTCCCAAACTCGGATATTTCGGGCTCTCTTTAAAAGGACCGAAGTTCTCAGCAAGGGATGCGAAGCCCATAAAGTTGGAATCCATTGAAGGTCCCTGGGTATACACGGCTCCTGAATGCTTACGCGCCACCAATGTCACGTATAAAAGTGACGTCTTTTCATTTGGAGTAGTTTTGTTAGAACTAGTTTGCGGAAAGACTTTATCGCAAATCAGTGAGCATGAGTGGCGTCAAGTTGAGAACACTGCAGATTTTTTCCAATTTACGATGAGCGTAGTTGAGAAAGTACGTGATTTGGCAGGAACAGGAAGAGCTGAGGGAATTATTGATGAGAGTTTGGTGGGAGAAATAGGAAGAGGGTGCTGGAAATTGTATATGGACATTACAGAGAGTTGTCTGAATGAAGATCCCAATGAGAGGCCTGATATGGGAGACGTTGAAGTGCAGCTTGAACGTCTATTGCAGCTACAAGAGGATGCAGATTCTAACAATATAATGATTCCTTGATTTAATTTCTGTTATTGTAACGGACTGCATCCGCTGTTTAATACTACCTCGGATATATTTAATATAAAAATTTGTTTGATTTTTATTTTAATTTTAAATATAAGATCTCAATTTATTTTGTTTCTTATATTTATCTTCTTCTTTTTTTTAAATGTAATTCTTATAATAATGATAGTTTTAGTTAATACACTTAAATAGTAAAGATATTTTAGAAAAAAACTTTGAAAATAATGCCTAATAAATAGGACTATAAGAGTGCATATTTTTGTTTTATAATTTATAGCCAGCAACTAATGGATCAATGGTATCAGTATTAAATATAAAAAGCACCTACTTAAATTAAATTCAAATAAATCAGGTTTGACATGGCTTTAAAAGCAATTGATTTTTTGCTAAAGAAATCAGTTAAAGTGATTTTTGAAAATTCCCGAGTCAGCTTTTGACACTCATTAAAATTTGAAGTTTCTAGAACTGACTCTTCGTCTATCATCTGAACAAACTTTTATCTTTTCATAAAATTTATTTAAACATGAATCACATTACATGAATTAACTAACTTTTATCTCAAATTTCAGTTTGCAATAGTTTTGAATTGTCAGGTTTCATAAAAATTAGTACTTTTGTCAACATTAATTCAATCAAGCTAAAACATATATAGAAGGACTTCTTTCAGGAAGATGGATGTTATAAAGAACTGAAGCTGGGATTCAACAGTAGCGCCATCTTGGTAGAACACACGTGAGACTGCCGAAGGAAAGACCACAGGTGATGTGAGCTTCTCAATTACGCAGTATTAATTCCCTGTCAGTTAAGTAGAGGGCCTGTTATACTTTATATGAAAGAAATTGTGGCAGGGAGATTTTTTATTTGTTTTTAAATCTCTAAGAACTAATCTGTTATTCTCGCACACAACAGCCTCTCTCTATGATTGGTCACTCAAAAAGAGGATCAATTTCCATTGGCAAAAGTTAGATGACTTGCGCGATATTTGGATAAGGCAAAAAATACCTCTAAAAAATGTTTTTATAAAAGTCAAGATAAATTATATATATATATATATTAGGAAAAATGACAGCAAAATACCATGTGAATTTTAAAAAGATAAATAAGGCACCTAAATAAGCAAAATGACAAATAGGGCACTGGGTACCAATTTGGAATTTAGATTTTTGGCCTAATGATCGAAGTGTCCTGATTGTCTCTGAACACTAAGCAGTGTATTCATGCGATAGAGAAAGGGAGAAATTGATTTCCTTCGACGAAACTAAATCCAAGTTCCTGCAGTCACCAAAAAGGGTTCTTCGAAATCACGATGCCACCGTTGTAGGAGTAGATTGCCATCGCTGAATTTACTTACCATCGTTGAAATACATTGCCCTGTCTGAAATAACTTGCACTCCCTGAGATTGTCGCCGTCGAAGAGGTTGCTGAATTATTTGGATTGTTCATGAGTGAGTAGAAGTTGATGGCAGGATTTGGATCATTAATTTTTGTGGCTGTTTCATGGTGAAATAGGAACAGGATTATTGTATTTGAGGGTTCATATTCAGTATTTGGTGAATGATGAAGTAGAAATAAGAAAATAATGGCAAGCAATTACATAATGTAACTGCTGTCATATGCCTGCTGGTTTTTGGTAAATCCTATTACGTGAATGGTAGATTTTATTGTACATGTAGTTAATTATGAAAGTTAATAGTTCAATATTTATTGTGATGTACTTCAGGTGCACGTTCACTGAATGATTTATTTATGCTTACAAGTTGCCCTTCCGGTGAAAACAGGTTTACAAAACCCATTGAAAAAGCAGTCACTTTTACTATAAAAGTTGTAAATCCCATTATGTGTTTTGTAAAATTCAGTATGAAATTTTATTGGTGGTGAAAAGTAAGTTACTCATCCCTTGAAAATATATTGCAAAACCTATTAACAAAGCGATCACTTTTATCACAAAAGCTGTAAATCCCAGTATATGTTTTGTAAAATTCAACGTGAAATTTTATTGGTTTTTAGAAACAAGTTACCTATCCCCTGAAAACAGGTTGCAAAAGCCATTTAAGAAGTGGTCATTTTCACAATAAAAGTTGTAAATCTCACTGTGTGTTTTATAAAATTCAGCGTAAAATTTTATTGATTTTTAGAAACAAGTTGCTCATCCCCTGAAAAGAGGTTGCAAAAGCCATTTAAGAAGTGGTCATTTTCACTACGAAAGTTGTAAATCTTACTATATATTTTGTAAAATTCAGCATGAAATTTTATTGGTTTTTAGAAACAAGTTGCCAATCCCTTGAAAACATGTTGCAAAACCCATTGAAGAAGTGATTATTTGCACTACAAAAGTTGTAAATCTCACTATGTTTTTTGTCAAATTGAAATTTTATTAGTTTTTAGAAACAAGTTGCTCATCCCCTGAAAACAAGTTACAAAACCCATTGAATGAGTGATCATTTTCACTACAGAAGTTGTAAATCCCACTATATATTTTGTCAAATTTAGCGTGAAATTTTATTAGTTTTTACAAACAAGTTATTTATCTCTTGAAAACAGGTTGCAAAACTCATTAACAAAGTGGTCACTTTCACTACGAAAGTTATAAATCAAAATATGTGTTTTGTAAAATTCAGGACAAATATTTTAATAATACTAGAAAATCAAACAGTTTCACATTCTCTGAAAATGGTTTTATGCAAAGAACAGAGACAGAACCAACAAGAGGAATGCTAGGCAATAACATTTTAAGCCGTGAGGACCCATCGAAAATGCTCTATGAAGAATAATATTTAAGCTTCCTACTTGTTTATCACAGTTAGTGTTACTTCAACGACCTCTTTGACGGCGACAATCTCAGGGAGTACGAGTTCTTTCAGACAGGGCAATGTATTAACTTTCATAATTAACTACATGTATAATAAAATCTACCATTCACGTAATGGGATTTATAAAAAACCAGCAAGCGTATGACAGCAGTTACATTATGTAATTGCTTGCCACTATTTTCTTATTTCTGCTTCATTATTCACCAAATACTGAATATGAACCCTCATATGCAATAATCCTGTTCCTATTTCACCATGAAACAGCCACAAAAATTAATGATCCAAATCCTGCCATCAACTTCTACTCACTCATGAATAATCCAAATAATTCAGCAACCTCTTCAACGGCGACAATCTCAGGGAGTGCGAGTTATTTCAGACAGGGCAATGTATTTCAACGATGGTAAGTAAATTCAGTGACGGCAATCTACTCCTACAACGGTGGCATCGTGATTTCGAAGAACCCTTTTTGGTGACTGCAGGAACTTGGATTTAGTTTCGTCGAAGGAAATCAGTTTCTCTCTTTCTCTATCGTATGAATACACTGCTTAGTGTTCAGAGACAATCAAGGCAATTCGGTCATTAGGCCAAAAATCTAAATTCTAAATTGGTACCTAGTGCCCTATTTATCATTTTGTTTATTCAGGTACTTTATTTATCTTTTTAAAATTCATATGATATTTTACTGTCATTTTTCTTTTATTTTATATATAATAAAATTATTTTTAAAATCATGATTTGTTGTCACAAAAATCTCTGTGACACTAGTGGTACACAAAAGTCATGGGTGGTCATTAGTCTGATCCCTCGGGTGAAACCAACACCTAAGATGTGACCGGGAGAGGAAATTCCCTCCCTGTTTCCTCTCTATTTATAATTTTTATTATTGGATTAACATCCAATAGTTTAAACAAACTTTTATTTTCTCATAAAATTTATTTACGCATGACTCACATTACATGAATAAATTAACTTTTATCTCAAATTTGTCAGGTTTCATAAAAATTAGTGCTTTTTGTCAACATTAATTCAATCAAGCGAAAACATATAAAGAAGGACTTCTTTCAGGAGGATGGATGCAACAAAGAACTGAAGCTGGGCTTCAACAGTAGCGGCATCTTGTTAGAACACATGTAAGACTGCCGAAGGTAAGACTACAGGTGATGTGAGCTTCTCAATTACTTAGTACTCCTCCGGTTCTTAATATAAAACCTATTTAACTAATTTGATTATATTAAAGAAGTTAGGTAAGTTAGTTAATTGTAATAAATGTGACACATTTTTCCTAAAATACCATAATCATCTTTCTTAATACTTTTTCTTCCTCTTCTACTTGATTATGGTTAAGGAAGTATCCATAAGGGTAATTTAGAGAAAATTGATAAATATAAGAAATGGGTCTTATATTTAAGACCAAAACTAACTCAACAATTGGGTCCTATATTAAGGACCGGAGGAGTATTAATTCCCTGTCACTTAAGTAGAGCGTCTGTTATACTCTATGCGGAAGAAATTGTAGCAGGGAGATTTTTTATTTGTTTTTAAATCTCTAAGAACTAATCTGTTATTCTCGCACGCAACAGCCTCTCTCTATGATTGGTCACTCAAAAAGAGGATCAATTTCCATTGGCAAAAGTTAGATGACTTGCGCGATATTTGCATAAGGCAAAAAGTACATTTAAAAAATATTTTTTATAAAAATCAAAATAAATTTTTTTTACATATTTATTTTATATATCTAGTAAAAATTATGATTTGGTTTAGAAACAACTCCCAAGATGTGATGGGGAGAGAAATTCCCTCTCTATTTATTATTTTTATTATTGGATTAACAGCCAATAGTTAAAATTTAATATATTATAAAAATATTATTATAATATTAATTAAACAACAAATATATATAAGTAATTAGAAATTAATATGTATATATTTCTTTTATAGATTTGTATTAAAATATTTTATAATTTTTTTACCCTGTCCTGTCTAATTATAATAATATAATAGTATTTATTTATATAAATTAAAATTATTTATATGTTATAATAATATTATTTTAATAATAGAGATAACAAATGAAAAGAGGTGTAGAGAAAACTAAACGAAGATGATATTCTTCGAGGCTCTAATGAGAATTTTCCTACTTGTATGTGAACTTTCCGGCCTTTTGTTAGGTCTTCTATTTGT